GGTCTTTCTGTGTGGAGTTTGCATGTTCTCCCCGTGTTTGGTGTTTGCATGGATTCCCTCTGGGTACTCCGGCTTCCTCCCACTGTTCATTTCACATTTAAGGTTGGCTGGATTCAACAATTATTGAGCTTCCTACAAGTATGTGTGATGTCATCCTCTTCGTATCCTTTCTAAAATCGCAGGTTTAAATTAATTTCTTGTCTGTAATTATGATGTTGACAAAATATATTTTAAGCTTTCAGGTTTTCATCATCAGGTCTTCTTATTCTGGTCGCTCATGTAAATCATAACTCCTCCCATCATCACGATTTCTTCTGGAACAACAAGCAAAAATCACAATTCTGTGACTCCTGGTTCTGAAACACTCCTTGTGATAGACTGTTATAGACCGTTATGTGTTTAATTATTGAAAATTAAAGAACACCTCGTCACCTTCCTGTAACTCCTGGGAACATGTCTTTGGTGTGTCTCATCTAAAATCAGTGTTTCATCACGGGCCCAGACTGGATGAGCACCACCCTCCTGCTCTGCTGTAGGTGAAGCGGTCAGAGCTCTGTTCCTGGACCATCCTGTTCCTAACCATATACAGTCTTCTGTTGGAATCACCTCATCTCTGCTATTAACTGGAAGAAGGACGTGTCCTTTAAACGTGTCCACAGGTGTGTCCTACCAAAGGTGTCCTTAAAACTGCTATAAAACGTGACTCTCAGGGGTTTTGGAACGACGTCTTATCTGGACCACATTAGGACAGCAGCATAAACTCGTCTCTATCTTCCATGTCCTCACTGTCATGATGGAAATGCACAACTATACTGACACTATCAAACTTTCTGCTCTTGTCCTTTTGTCAAATAAAGCTTTTTTTTTTTTTAAGTGAGTGTGTCACGTGCTTCAGAGCTGCAGACTTCACACTGATTCAGCTTCAGAGCTGTGAGCCTGTGCTGCCCCCTGCTGCCTGCTGCCTGCTATTGCTGAGTGTGGCTTTACTTTGTTTCTATTAGATTTAAGAGAGTTCTGTTGCAGTGCTTCCAGTTTAGTGACTTATTAATTAAAATTATATTTTATTTTATTTCATGTATTCAGTAAAGGAAATACCAACTTTTAGAATAAATGTGTGTGTGTGTGTGTGTGTGTGTTTTAAGGTCAGGTCTGAGCTGAACGGTTTGAACTTTATAACACAATCAGACATTTTTATGTTTGTTTACACATGCTGATAAGAGGATGAGGTGTGGTGTAATAACACATGTGTCTTTGCAGATTCTTAGTTTATAACAGACTCGTTTTCCTTAATGATTGGTTATTGGAAAACATAAACATTTGAAATTTATGTTTTAGCTGTGTTGTACTCAGAATTATTGCTTCAATCAATCACCCAGTGCATCATGGGAATCCCCAGCAGCCTACACCTACTGCAGCATAACTAAGGGAGGATTCAGGGTCACCTGATCCAGCCCTAACTATATGCTTTAGCAAAAAGGAAAGTTTGAAGCCTAATCTTGAAAGTAGAGATAGTGTCTGTCTCCTGAATCCAAACTGGAAGCTGGTTCCACAGAAGAGGGGCCTGAAAACTGAAGGCTCTGCCTCCCATTCTACTTTTAAATACTCTAGGAACAACAAGTAGGCCTGCAGAGCGAGAGCGAAGTGCTCTAATAGGGTGATATGGTACTACAAGGTCATTAAGATAAGATGGGGCCTGATTATTTAAGACCTTGTATGTGAGGAGCAGGATTTTGAATTCTGGATTTAACAGGAAGCCAATGAAGGGAAGCCAAAACAGGAGAAATCTGCTCTCTCTTTCTAGTCCCTGTCAGGACTCTTGCTGCAGCATTTTGGATTAACTGAAGGCTTTTCAGGGAGTTTTTAGGATGCCTGGGTCGTTGACCCAGAGTTTTGAGTTTATTATATTATTTATCATTTGTAGTCTTTGGTTTCTTAGAGTTCTATCTTATGGTTTATGTCTCTGTGTCTCCCTGGTCCCACGTCTCTGTTGCCTGTGAGTCTGTGTCTGTAAGTTCAGTCTGTGTTATGTTTCCTGTTTTACTTTGAAAGTCCTTGTCTCATGTAAATGCGTCTGGTTGTGCCCCAGCTGTGTTTCCCTCCTGTTACCAATTCCCTGATCGCTCCCTCTGTGTATTTAAGCCCTTTGTTTCAGTTTGTCCATGTCGTGATCTACCCTTATTTTGCTGTGTGTTCTGTCTGTGTAAAGTTTACCTTGTAGTCTCAGTTTTGTTACTGTTTTGGAGTTCAGCATTAAAGCTGTATTTAAGTTCACCTTTGGTTTCTGTGAGTCTGCATTTTGGGTCCTTCATGTCACCACTCCTGCCTGCACACAGCCTTCCCATAACACAGTTATCCAGCCTGGAAGTAATAAATGCATGAACTAGTTTTTCAGCGTCACTCTGAGACAGGATATTTCTAATTTTAGAGATGTTGCACAAATGGAAGAAAGCAGTCTTACATATTTGTTTAATATGTGGATTGAAGGACATGTCCTGGTCAAAAATGACTCCAAGGTTCCTCACAGTGTTACTGGAGGCCAAGGTAATGCCATCCAGAGTAAGAATCTGGTTAGATACCATATTTCTAAGATTTTTACTGTGAATATTAGAGATAGTCTCATGGTCCTCACGTCTTCTCTGGTGTTCTCTTTGTGGTTCTTGCTCCCTCTTCACTCCTCCCCCAGCAGGGTGGCGCTCCTCCTCAGCAGACCTTCCTGGACCCCTGCCTGTTTCCTGTGGGCCCTGTTTGGATGAGCATGAGTGAGTTTCTGCGTGGGACTGGACTGAGAGTGTGTCAGTCACAGACTGTGTGTAGAGGAGTGTGAACGAGTTAGCCTTGCCCTGTACTTTTACCCTGGAGTCCCAGTCCCTTCGTCACAGTACATATGTATATATGTCACCTGGTGTTGTAAATAAACTCGCCTTTAATGGCACAATTCGGTCCTAGCCGTCTGAGACAGGTTATCATATTTAAGATCTGAAGCATTAATTAATGGCAGGACTTCTTTGAGCAGTTTTGTAGGAATGGGGTCTAAAAGACACGTTGATGGTTTGGAGGAAGTAATTATTGAAGTTAACTCAGAAAGATCAATTGGAGAAAAAGAGTCTAACTTAACATCAATGGTACTAAGAGTAGCTGTAGATAATATTACATCTGTGGGATGATTATTGGTAATTTTTTCTCTAATGATAAAAATTTTATTTGTGAAGAAGTTCATGAAGTCATTACTAGTTAACGTTAAAGGGATGGTTGGCTCAAAGAGCTCTGACTGTTTTGTCAGCCTGGCTACAGTGCTGAAGAGAAACCTGGGGTTGTTCTTATTTTCTTCAATCAGTGATGAATAGTAAGATGTTCTGGCTTTGGGAGGGCTTTCTTATAAAGCAGCAAACTATTTCTCCAGGCTAAATGATGATCCTCTAAATTTGTGACACGCCATTTCCTCTCCAGATTACGAGTCATCTGCTTTAGGGTACGTGTTTGAGAATTATACCACGGAGTCAGGTACTTCTGATTAGAGACCTTAGTTTTCACAGGAGCTACAGTATCCAGAGTCGTACGTAGTGAGGAGGTGAAATTATTAACAAGATAATCGACCTCTGTTGGGGTAGCGTTCAGATAGCTGCTCTGCTCTGTGTTGGTACAGGGCATTGAAGATGATAACAGTGGGTGGATTATATTCTTAAACTTAGTTACAGCGCTTTCAGAAAGACATCTACTGTGATAAAGTCTACTCTCCACCGCTGTGTAATCAATTATTGTAAATGTAAATGTTATCAGGAAATGATCAGACAGGAGAGGGTTTTCAGGAAACACTGTTAAATGTTCAGTTTCTATGCCATATGTTAAAACAAGATCTAGAGTGTGATTAAAGTGGTGGGTGGGTTCTTTTACATTTTGAGAGAAGCCAATTGAGTCTAATAACAGATTAAATGCCATGTTGAGGCTGTCATTTTTAGCATCTACATGGATGCTAAAATCACCCACAATAATTATTTTATCTGAGCTCAGAACTAAATCAGATATAAAGTCTGAGAAATCAGATGGATTTTTGATTCATTTAAACAACATAATCATCCTGCTGTAACCAGGTTTCTGTAAATCAATTTGTTGATCAATTATTAAGTCATGCACTAACAGAGACTTGGAAGAGAGAGACCTAATATTTAATAATCCACATTTCCTGATTTATTTAAAAGCAGCTCGTCATCACTGTGCCACCACGAGAGGAGAGCAGAGACAGGAGCCTGCTTATCTTTGTTTGGTCTCCAGTTTGAGCCTAAAACTCATTTCATGTTTATTTATAATAAGCCCTCTTCTCCTGTCTTCTTCCAATAATAATAATCTGAGTAATAAAATAAATAAATCAAATACAAAGACTAACAGGAGGAGCGTGTAAGTCTGTGTTTTTACCGATAATAAACCTTTGTCTCTGATGAAAACACTGAGCGCGATCCGCAGCCTTCACATTGAAACCTTCTCTGTGTTACATAGCAAACATGGACAGAAACATGTAGACTACTTCCTGTGAGGCCAAACTGAGCCTGTGTGTTAATTAAAGCCTTTATCAGCCTCCTCCTCCTCACGTTTTGAGGACAGACAAAAAGTCATGCTGTGATCTGAAACTGGTTTGAAGCACATGAGAACATGTGGAGGTACCTTTGGAGGTCAGATGACAGATACACTGGATAATATTTCCCTAGAAATCCAACGAAAGGTATCAGTTTAAAACTTATTTCATATATTTATTGTCTTTAAAGTGTTTTCATGTCTTTTAATCCTTATTTGAATGAATGCTTTACTTCACGGAGGTGTTTCTAACAGACAGGAAGCAGTGAAGCCGATCTATGGTGAACGTCATCACTCAGGTGTTTGCAGGTGTTTGGTGGTCCTCTGTGTGAGTCCTCGTTGATGCCTTGATGCGCTCAGTGGGACGGACAGCACGCTGAAAGTCAGACCGGTGAGCCGCTTTTATTCTGAAAACCCGGAATGCTTTTATTTTGTAGAGCAGAAAGCGGATGTCCTGTGTGTGTGTGTTGATCGAGTTCGTGAGCTGCAGTACATCAACAGGTGAGAGAGACGGCGCGCGCTCAAAGGAAACGGAGAGGTGTGAAGGCGAAAGGATGGAAGGTGAGGAGGTGTCAGGGGAGGAGGTGTCAGGGGGTTCCGCTCCTCTCTAAGCGGAGGACAGCAGAGGGTAGCAGACCTGCGGAGGAGGAGGTCCGCTACTTTCCGGAAAAACAGTCCGTGATTTGTTTCCGCCTGCTCGCGTTAATGATCGACCAGGCTTCGGTTAATCGACGCGCCGAGCAGAGTCATAGGAGTTGAATCAAACACCGCGCTCAGATCTAACGACGCTGTTATCTTCAGTATCCAGTCATCAGTTACATCGCTGTTCATTGTTATGATTAAACACACAGGTCAGGTCATACACTGTTCTTCCACCATCCTCTCAGAGTAACACACTGATGGTTTCAACACATTTATAGTTTCATTCAATCTCTGTCAAACCTTGTATGACTTATTTATTGTGTTATTTCAATCACTTTCATGTTGTAGCTCTTTCCTTAGAGTCCAGACTTTCTCCTTAAATTAAACACTTTGGTAATATCAGCAGGTTTAGTCTACAAATGATGGGGTTGATTTAGCCCTCTGCCCATGGACTTCAGTTCTGTTACCATTTTGCCACATGAATCTTATTTTCGTAATAACTTAATTTTGTGCATCTCCTGCCTGATGTGCTTCGGCAGACGTGTGTGTTTCAGGTGTTTGCTGAGTCCCGTGCTGCGGAGTCCTCTGCTGTCCCCGCGGTCCTCGATGAAGATCCATGAAGGTAATTTGTGTTTCTTCTTTGTGGCGTCGCTTTAAGCAGCTGGACACGGTCACGGCTCAGCGACATCAGCAGTGACATATCTGTGACGCCTGTCACAGACACTCACAGCAGTTTCCTGAGTGATTCACTCACTCCGCTTGAAGTCTGCTCTCTGATTGGACGGTTTCTGTCAGCGGTGACGTGACTCTGTGGCCGGTCGTTGTCACTGTGGACCCAAAGAGGCGACTGGACGTGCCTGACAGGAGAGTGTGACCGCAGACTCCGAGGTCAGGCTGAGACACGATCCACCCACGCTGAGTCTGAGTCGAGCTGACATCACCTGAGCTGCTGGAACAACAATAGCAACCAGTGCATCCTCCCCTCCTCCCCCATCCTCCCCTCTCCCTGAGGTCACCTTGCAGCCTGAGAGCGTTCACACCAAACCTAAAACTTTGTTAGAGTCAGTCATTGGACATTGAAGTTTACTGAGCATGAAGCATCGGATCAGTTTTCCTCACTGTGTGAAGGAAGTGTGGCAGAAGCGACAGGAACCCTGGATCTGCTGCTGATGTAGAGGTCCGTCCCAGGAAGCTCACAGGTAGACGTTGTCAGCTGAGTGAAACCTCTCGCTGAACGATCGGATCGGTGAGGACCGACAAGGCCTGTCTGTGTCATGTTTCACTCTCAGGTTTGTCATAGTTGCTGTGATTTAATATTAAGGCGTGTTCTAATCCCGGCTTGGAATGTGCACGGCTCTGAAAGCTTTGAAGGTACGAAGCGTACGAGCTCTGGACTCTGAGCAGCGTGTTTGCTCTGCAGGTGGTGAATGCCTGAAGTGTCACGTCACTTTTAAGCCATTCTTTTCCTGCAGCACACCCGAATCCGTCAGCCGATCAGCTGACCGAATCCGGCCCCGCAGCATTCCTCGCCCACATTTCCGAGGATGTTATGAGCAGGATAAGCCGCTCCCGCCCTGCACACTCACCCAAACACGCCGCTGTGAATCCCGTCAGCCTGCCGGGCTGCGGCACGAAAACATCTTCCTGTTTATTCCCACTGACACGCTGGTCATCAGGCTGAAGCTCGGGCTGAGAAGGTGTGAACCTGCGCCGCACACCAACTCTGTGGGATAATAAACTGAAGTGAAAGCTTTGAGTGAGAGGCGCTTTCTGTCAGCTGTTCCTGCCCTTGTACCTGGATGATGTCACTGAGGAAGGACGATGGGATGGTGTGCGCTACGAGGTGAGTCCACCGTTCCCTCTCGGTTCCCCGGGTATCCTGACGTCAGAGATCAGGGCGGTCGGTTACCAGCCCGCTGACTGAACATGGCTTTCTTGATCCAGGCATGAGGGCGCTCACCTGAAAGTTGGCGGAATCTGACCAATCACAGTTATGTTAGGAGAAGAATAAAGTATAAAACCAAGACGACTCAGAGGTCAGTGTCAGCAGCTCTGCATCAGTGTGTGTGTTAATAAAGTTTGAAGCCTGGACAGGAAACCATCCATCATTCAGGCATTTTATAAAATAAATGTCTGTAAAGTCAGTAACCGTTAGAAACGCGGCACGTGTGCGTGTGAGGGCCGAATCGCATGTTAAAGGTTATGAAACAGAAACTGAACCCAAAACGAATCGCATCAAAGTTGTGACTGAGAATGAACATTTGTCACTCGGAGTCACACAGACTTCAGACCTGCTGCTGTCGACGCTCTGAGGGATCCTTAGGAACGGGGACGTTGTTTTCCTGAGATCTGATTGGCTGGTGGGTGGGGATTTCATACCTGCTGATCGCTAATCTGGAGCAGGTTCGGTTCACAGCATCAGTTTATTTTTTTTAACCCCCTTCACAGAAACCTGGAGTTACCGGGGTTACCTGGATCAGGTGAAGTCCTGCTATGTGCTGCAGACCTCAGATCTGACTCTCTGTTTCTAAACGTATCCCCCTTACTGTCAGCCTGCTGCTCCTTGTCACCCCACCCGGCCTGCCGTGTTTGCACTGCCCTCTAGTGACGTCTGGAAGGGGGCGGGGCTAAAGCAGCTTCTTTCACACACAGGATGAAGCAGTATCAGATACAGAAGGATTATTCTGAACTGCGAGTCAGGCAAAGCTGCTCTGTTAGAGTCTGGATGTGCAGTTCACTCACAATACAGGATAAAGTCTTTATGTTTGGGGTGGTGTTCACTTCCTGTCAGGGTCAGAGGTCAGAGAGAACCTAAATGTAAACCCTGTTTGTTCTCAGAGAATCTGAGTGATCCCTGTGAGGAGGAGGAGGACCCACAGCACTTTGTCTCCTGTGAGAGGGAAACTTCAGCCTCTGCTGCCTGAAGCTCTGCTGCATGGACCCCACCGTGTTTCATCAACATGTCCTCTGATTGGTCCTTCCCTTCAGTCTGAAGATCTGTCAGCCAATCAGTTTCTGTCTGGGTGAGCGCCACTTCCTCTCCCCACCAGCTGCTGCAGTCACTCAGCTTACTCAGCAGCACGAGTGTGTGTGTTGTCCTGTGTGAGCCCTCCCACCTTCTTTTCCACTCCCATCCCCCTTCCTCACACACGGCCTGTGTGTGTGAGTCAGTGGAGAAAGTTACACTCTCTGTGTGTGTGTCTGTCTGTGTGTTGTCTTTGCAGTAGACTTTGCTTCAGTGCGGCGGGGGAGAGGAGTGAGCGAGGACGCTGCAGCTGGGTGAGGATCGGAGCTGAGGGGATCGCAGCGTTTCGGGGTTAAAGGTGAGCGTGTGCTTCCTTCAGTTTGTCCCCGCCTGCATAAAAATAGCTCTGACCCGGTTCAGACCCGGTCTGAGGGTTTTAGGTGATCAGGATTATTTGTGAATCATCGGTTTTCTACAGAGGGTGAAGGAGTTTACCATCAGAGGCAGTGCTTTGGGGCTGTTTAGACTGAGGATTTTAAATCTCAGTTATCCCCTCTGTGGGTCACCGTGCCCCCCCCAGATGTTCCAGCCGTGGTGGTGGGGAGGGGGGGGGGGTGGACACTTCCTGAGTATTTGTGAAGGCTCTCAGTCATCCAGGTCATCGCAGTCTAAGGAGCTCGGGGAGAAAAGTGTCTGGACTTCTTAAGTTTGCTTAAAGACGTTTCACCTCTCAAGGAAACTGAAAGACGTGCAGACACACTTCCTCAGTCATTTATTCAGTGTGTGTGTGTGCTGGAAAATCTTTTTCTTCAGTTTCTGTCGTCTGTAGTTCAGAGTTATCTTTATTAGTTATTATTAGTTATTGATGATCTATATTGATTAACAGTGGTGTAGTACACTAGTTTAAATGACGTGTAGGTGCCCTGTGTTTGTACGGCGACTGCAACCGTCTCTGTGCTTTTCTTCCTGCGAATGATGATGCTGTGTGTGAGCAGAGTGCTGATTGGTTGAAAACTCTCCTTCCAGCTGAAGTTGTTCTTTGGCGACCTGGTTGTTTGTGTCAGGCTGAGGACGTCTGTGTGAGTCTTTGTCATTTGCTGTTATTTCCCATGGAGACAGCGTGCCGTCCTCTCAGTCATCAGGGAATGTAAAGTCTGCAAGCTCCAGAGCAGACTGATGACAGCAAAGATGCTCAGACATGTAATGAAATACCTGACAGTCTGTTTCTTTCACAGCCGTCTCCATCATGGAAGTGCCCAGGAGGCTGTCCTTCCCACTGGTTCTCCCTAAACCAGCCTCGTCTGCTCGGTCTCCTCTGGGAGCTGCAGGTCAGACAGCTGGAAGCAGCAAAGATCAAACTGGAGGGGAAAAGTTAATCTCAGAGGAGAAGACGCCTGAGTCAGGGGTGATTGTAGTGGTGGAGGCGCCACCTGAAGATGGAAAAGCTGCTCGGCGATTCTCCTCTCAGGACAGTTTCTCAGAGGAGAGCTCGTTATCAGAGGAGAGGCTGGAAGAGGAGGCCAGAGAGGCCCAGAGGAGGGCCGAGGAGGAGGAGGCAGCAGCCAAGGAGAGGGCGGCCCAGAGGCAACAACTGGCCATCCAAGAGCTTGTGGAGTCTGAGAGGAGCTACCTGCGCCTGCTGCAGCTCAGCACCGTGACCATCAGGAGCAACCTGCAGCAGCAGCTACAGGTAGGACCTAGGAACACACCTGCCCATCGAAGCAGGAAGCAGGGGGAGGGGCCAAACTGCTTGTTTCAGACGGAGGGCGACCCTAGGGCCTGCACTGAGCCCTGGGATCAGACACAGAAGGATTATTATCGACTGTGAATCATGCAGAGCTGCTTCAGCTTTATTTATATAGCACCAAATCACAACAGCAGTGGCCTCAATGTGCTTTATATTGTAAGCTAAATAATGATAATATATAATAATACAGAGAACACCCCAACAAGGACGTCTGAGAACAAACACTTGTTCATAGAGCTCATCCAGCTGGGGAGGAAGAAGGGCTGAGGGAGGGGACAGAGATTAATAATAAGCAGTGAATAAATGCAGGGGGGTGTATACAGTCACAGTGACAAACTCTGATAGTGACAATACAAAGAAGCAAAAAGAAAGTGGCTGAACTTAAAGCTGCTGCTCACCTGTGCAGCAGGTGAAGGTTTTAGCATCCTGCGCCCTCTCAGTGGCTTCTTATCACCTGCTTTTCATTATGCCTGTTCTGTTGCTTAGTACTGCTAAATGACAGCTTATTATCACTGTGCTAATGAAATGAGGCCTCATAAAACATAATGAAATCAGGCTTTATGGGCAAGAAGAGCTGAGCTGTGGAAACACAGCAAGAGAGCAGGGTGAAGGCGTGAGTGAATGGCGGCTCTGTGAGACAGATGAGCCGCTGGATTGTGCATTGTTCAGCCTCCCAGCGCCCAGCGCCCCCGTCTTTCCAGCATGAGCACAGATCCACCTTTATTATCAAAGGTCAGCCAAGCTCTGATGCTGCTGCAGCACATCGCCATCACTTTTTCAGCGTTCCTCAGATGTTTTTATATACTCAAAATACATGAACACCATGTGTTATAATGGATAATTTGGGTTATAATGGGAGCGTATGGGTTGTAATGGGGTACCTTCAGACTTTGGGGTTAAAGAAGTGTCTGATATCAGGTAAAAACCTTTATTTTCTGTCTCCCCTCCACCTGCTCTGACTGAAGCCGCCTCCAGCTGGACTGGACAGCATGTTTCTGCACATCGAGGAGGTGATCGATGTATCGAGCCGTCTCCTGAGCCTGCTGGACCAGAAGCAGCTTCAGTTTGGAGAGCCTGACTTCCCGCAGAGTCTCTGTAAGCGACCTGACACCAGACCTTTACTTTGATGTGTCACCCTCACAGCTTCAGTCTTTCTGTCGTTGTAAACAGGAAGTCAAACAGGAAGTGGTTGTTCTTTGTTGTTTTTCTGACTCTTATCCTTTTTCTTTATTGACACAAATTTAAAGATGGAGTATTGTGATTCAGCTCAGGTGAGTTCCTGAATCACACAGGTGTCACCTCTTTGTTTTTGTTCCGGGGAAGACTCTTCTTCACAGACCAGCTCAGCATGTAAAGTCCACCTTAAAGTCAGACACTGTGGCGCTCTGACGTCTGATAAGCTGATGTTTCTCTAACTTCTCACAGTTTTTGTTGGATGAACACGAGATGATCATCATCGAGAAACCCGGGAGGTAGACAGTGAAAATGATGATTGTCATCGCTCTTTACTCGGCACAGCCGTTTCCCGTGATGAACGTTAAAACTTCCTTTCTGCTGCTTCTTGTAAAGGAGTAAAGGTGTGTTTTCCTTCGCTGACAGGTGACTCGTTTCTCAGCCTGTCATCAGAGATGGAAGCCGCCTATAAGGAGTACCTGGCGCACTACAATCATGTGACGGAGGTGGAGAACAGCTACAAACAGAAGGAGGCTCTGTGGAACGAGGTTGTCAGAGTCATCAAGGCTGCGGCGTAAGTTTACGGTGCCTCGTCTCGCCTTGGACAGGAAGTGCTCAGAGCCGAGGAGCTGACTGATGAGTCTTGTGTCTCTCTTCACCTGCAGGCCTGACGTCAATGCCACGTCGCTGAGCTTCTTTTTGGTGATGCCCGTGCAGCGGATTGCCCGCTACCCCCTGCTGCTGCAGACCATCCAGAAGCACACCGACGCCTCCCACCCGGCCTACGCCCTGCTGGAGCAGACCGCTCACACCTCTGTTGCCTTAAACTGTCGCATCAACGAATACAAGCGCTTCCGGGAAGTCGGTGAGGAGCGTGACTAATGGGGCCGGATGTTGGCGTGAGAAAGCAGAAGGTTTTAACTGTCACTCGTGTTTTCTAGCTGACAAATACAGGAAGACGGAAATGCTGACCATCAAGGACAAGATCGTCCGCCTCAACACCCACAGCATTGCCAAGAAGACCGCCAGGCTCGGTCAGCAGATCAAACACGAGGCCGGACTCAAACCTAAGGTAGGCTGAACCCTGAGCCTCATCCACAGGAAGCTCCGCCCACATGTTTGTGAGGAGCAGCCAATCAGCAGAATGCTGTCTTAAAGGAGGAGGAGCTAAAATAGCTTGTGTCAGACAGCACCAGGATGACGCACAGAAGGATTACTGTGAACTGTGGATCATGCAGTGCTGCTCTGGTGGAGTCCAGGAGTGAGAACAGCAGGTTACAGCTCATGCAAAGCCTCCGTCAATCATACACTGTAATCATACGTGTGGAAGGATCAGCAGGGGGAGCAGGCTGCAGACAGGAAGTGTCTGATCAGACCTCCCACTCTCCCCTGGCCACTGCTGTGTTCACAGTGGGTGTGAACGTCCGAGCCAGAGTGACTGTACGGCACACGTCCTCCATGAGTATAAAAATTACAATCGATGTCTCGCAGTAAGTTACTGTCAGGTTTGTTGGCGCTGGACTCTGAACTGTGGAATCAGACAAGTGGGTTTATTTACAACACCGGTGATGTGTACATGTATAGAGTGAGGCAGGGAGAAGGGGGCTGGGAAAAAGGGGAACGCACGCTCAGTCCAAATCCAGAGTCCACACCGTGCTCACTCTCACTCACGCTCATCTGGGAAGGGTCCAGAGACGGATTGTACAAGGGAGATGGAGATAGACATCAGAGCTAGGCTCGGGGAGATCAGCATCAGTCTGAGCCGGGCTACACTAACATGCATTTGCGTTGGTGTGAAGCTCAGGTGACCACTGGCAGGTCTGATCGACCAAATGCTGTTAGGTGGAAGCACAGCTGTGGACTAGGGAGAGTGGAAGGTCTGATCAGACACTTCCTGTCTGCAGCCTGCTCCCCCTGCTGATCTTTCCACATGTATCATTACAGTGTATGATTGACTGAGGCTTTGCATGAGCTGTAACCTGCTGTTTTCACTCCTGGACTCCACCAGAGCAGCTTTGCATGATCCACAGTTCACAGTAATCCTTCTGTGCGTCATCCCGGTGCTCCTCCTATAAGACAAATGTCTTCTGATTGGCTGCGCCTCACAAACAGCAGGTCTTCTCTGAACCTCTGGCTCCTACTGACACTGACCCCATTACTACACGTTTTAAAGCAGTGTGTCACACAGCTAGTTTATGTAGCGCAGCAGTGTGTGAGCTCAGAGCATCTCTTTAGATCGGCGTGTTGGATGTCTTGCAGCTGGTGGACGAGGAATTTGATGCCCTGGAAGGATTCTTCTATGTTTTGGAAAACGGCATCCTGGAGCTGCTGGAGAACGTGGAGATGTACCTGCAGCACCTCCAGGTAAACTCATGCTCACACTTTGTCTTGGCTCTCGACTTCAAAGCTTTAGTGGACTTTATTGACTAAAACTTCAAACCTGAATAAACTCATTTGTAAAACATAAATTTGCAGCAGTCACTGTTTCACGCTGTGACTCACGGTCACGGTATAATTACAGATGTGCAGTCATGAGTTTGTGAGTCTCTGTCAGGAGGCCACACACATGCTTGTGTACCTTTCTGTTTTCCTCATTCTGTCCTTCACACCAACACTCAGCTCTTTGTATCTCTCTGCTGTTTAGCTTGTTTAGACGTTAGCGAAGACGACCCGCCCACATCTCCTGCTCTCCATCTGCAGCACAAACACCGACTTTAAGAAATGCTCAGAAACGTTTCTTTGCTTCAGCTTCACTCTGATGTGTTTGATTGTACATGTTTGGTTTGTAAAATAACGTGCTGAGGGCGGCGAGTCGTGTTTGGACAGCCAAGCGCTCAGCTGTGTGTGGTTGCTCTGCAGGGCTTCCTGTCCTGCCGCACGGAGGACTTTGACTTGGACATGGATGGAGAAAAGGCACCGATCTGCTACAAAGAGATCACGACGGCGCTCCGACAGTGGATCCTCCCGATGTTTGTGAGTGATTAACTCTGAGAACGGTGCTGCGGTCTTTACAGGTGCAGGAAATGTCGCAGCACTGCATCCTGTTGGCTCGTGTCCAGTTAAGAGGACAGGATGAGCTGCGATTACAGACACAGCACCAAACTTTACAGATTACATCACAGACTTCTCTCTGTGTAAACAGTTTCTGATTGGTGGATGGTGTGCATCCTGCATCCCACCTCCGATCTCTGCACACGCTCAGAACATGATCAGAGATCAGACACAGGCCGCTGTGTCTCTGAGCGCCTGCAGAGGTGGACATGCATATTTTGCCCCCTGTGAAAGGATGATGCAGTGAACGACGGTCTGCTGATGTCGATCTGTTCTTTGTTCCTTCTTCCAGGAGAAGAGGATGAGGAAGCTGATCCACCAGCCGCTCTGCGCTCTCCGGGACCTCCTGGTGGGCCCGAGGAACCTAATCAGGAAGAGACTCGACAAGCTGCTCGACTACGAGGTGATCGAAGGAAAACCCAACCTGAGCTACGAGGAGCAGGCTGTGGCCAACACGTACAGGTGGGAACTGGTTTCTGATGGTTCCTGATGGTTGGAGCTGTGAGTGACCTCGGATGATCTGATATCCTCGTGTTGGTGTTGTTCCCAGACCATCATGAAAATGTTGTTCCAGGTTCAACATTGCAAGTGACCAATCACATTGTTGTGACGTTATTCTTTTGCGCGCCAAGCCATTCGTGCATTTATGAAATTCCAATGTTGCAAGGACAATATCAGTTCTGCTCACTGTTTATTAAAGGGTTGCGGTTAGGGTTAGGGTAGGGTCCGTTGATCGGCGGACAGAGGCGGTTTCTCGCAGCTTAAGTACAGTTTTTTGTTTTACGCCGGTTTTTCCCGAAGTCGCAAAAGTATGACGTCACAACATTCTGATTGGTCACTTGCGATGTTGATCCTGGAACAACATTTAGTATGATGATCTGGGAACAACACCAACACGAGGATATCAGATCGTGCGAGTGACCTCCTCTACTCCCCTCTCCTCCTGACAGGACGTTGAACACACTGCTCCTGACGGAGCTCCCTCAGTTTAACGGGCTGGCTCTGCAGATGATGTGGAGCACGTTGGGGACGTTCAGCTGTCTGCACAGAGATCTCGCAGCAGACATGGAGCAGCTGTTTCACAGCTTCGCTCAGCAGGTGATGTCCTTACAGACAGGCTGATGCACAAAAACACGTTGGATATCTGTGCTCATCCTTCACGTGTCTCCCTGCAGCTCCCTCACAGCAGCCTTTCTCCTGGTGCATTCTGGGAGTGGGCAGAGTCTTCGGTGCTGGAAGGAGCGAGGAGGCTGCAGCATTTATGTCGAATGGTGGAGGACAAGCTCAACGCGCCAGATGCCCAGGTTAGCGTTCAGATCGGCTTTCATTCATTTATACAGCAGCAAACCACCTCAGGGCGCTTTACACTGTAAGCTACAGAGCACTATGGGCAACAGTGGACCACTCAGCTGACCTCAGACATGTTTGACATGTTTCAGCTGATTGGTTACTGCTGAAAGGTCAGAATAAAAAATATAACAGTGATTTTATCATCCAGCAAAAATCCTTCTCCGAATATTTAACCACACCGACGCGATGGTGTCACACCGACGCGATGGTGTCACACCGACGCGATGGTGTCACACCGACGCGATGGTGTCACACCGACGCTCCCAGTCTGAGCTTCAGTTTCCTGAGATTGTTGGTGTTCGGTGGGGGCGGTGGAGTTTGCTGTGTGAGCGTCGAGCATTGTTCCTGAAGTAATCTTTCTAAAAAAACGCCACCTGTATTTCCTGTTCTGCCGCGTGTTTTGTGTGAACTGGTTCAGCTACTGGTCCCAGTAAAGATCTGAAGTTCCAGTCACGTCACACTTAGCTGGAGGTTATAATACTTCTGGCTGAAGAATGTGGCGAATCACCATCATACGTCATTCGCAGGCGATAATGAGTCAGAGACGAGGAAGCGGTGAATGTGCCACTTCTGGTTCTTCAACTTTGCAGCTGCAGAACCAGAAGTGTCTCTTTCTGAGTCATTGTTTTCATTTCTGAACACCTTCCAGGTAAATTTGAGCACGTGTGAGTAATTCAGCAGCTCTGCCCTGTCTGAGATCTGACGTCTGCTCGTGTCTTTCAGCCTCTCAGCCCGTCCTCTCAGCGCCGTCTGAAGCAGCTAACGGATAAGCACGGTTCTGGAAAGATCTTCCAGGTGATGAGCACGGTCGTGGGCACCCGGGACCTGGACCTGAACTTGACTAAGGGCGAGCTAGTGGCAGTGATCAGCGAGGCCGACAGCCGTGGAGACAGAAGGAGGTGGCTGGTCGATGCAGGAGGTGAGACTTTTTATGACGTTTGCACTAAAACCTGAGAGGAAGAACTGTGGCGCCATCTGCTGGCGAGCCGCTGTTATTGCAACTGAAACAGACGAGCAGCCAATGGGATCGCTCTGTGGTCTGACACTGTCAACAAATAAATGTTAAACTATATTTACATCTTCACGCAGGGAAGCGAGGCTACGCTGCTGCCTCGAAACTCATTCGCTATCACCAGCCAACAGACGACCCGCCCCCTTCACCACACCCGAACCTGACAGAAGACGTGACCACACGCAGAAGACACTCCTACAGCCCGGCGGGCAATGCCCCACTGCCCATGAGTCAGCCCTGCTTTCAGGTAATTGAATTCCTCTGCATTAGACTGTCCAGGAGACGGAGGCCACGTGCTGTCCACCAGCGCAGGGCTGCAGGTTGATCATCCAGCTGCAGTCAGAATACTTTAATAATCCCGACAGTCGCCCCGAGATAATAAGAACAGACTGAACTAATTAAGTAATACAACATGTTACAAAGTTCGCTCTGATATATACAAACGGGCAGGAATGACGTCCTGTGTCATTCAGTGGTGCATTATAGGTAATGTCAGTCTCTGACTGCGTGTGCTCCTGTGACTGGCCAGCACGTTGTGGAGTGGGTGGGAGGTGTTGTCCTTATCTTGGACAACACCCTCCTCTCCACCTTGACAGCGTCCAGCTCCGCCTGTTACTGGCCGTCCCAGCATGCAGCAGCACAGAGGACGGCTCTGGTCACGACAGTAAGACTGAATTTGTTGTTGTGCACAGCAAATGCGATGCTGTCACATCCTTGTACGCGTTGATACGCTGCTAGATGGAGCGTATCAACGCGTACACATTACTGTCTCAGCGGTCTGCTCCTGAACAGTAATGTGACACAGAGCGGCTCTACCTGAGCAGGTGATTTAAAGACAGGTAGCTTGTTGTTGATGCTGGATCCTGCTTTGTGCCAGTGCATGCACACGTCTCCAGTAGCAGCAGCAGGCCTGTGTCCACCTGTCCTCACACGCTGTCTTTCTGTACCTCAGAGGCGCAGTCCACACCGGTCTCTCAAACCTACGGTTTTTATACCATCATCAGCTGATTGTTTCTTAAACGGTAGAAGAAGATGTGTTCTGTGCTGCCCTCGTCTTACACGTGATGACGTGTGCTCGGAGTACTTCTTCTTGTCTTCGTGTTGATGCGTTGCACTTCTCTGAGCGTAATTCAGTGCAAAATAAGTGCTGCTGCTGTTGAGCACGATTCATTAGAAAGAGCCGGGTCAGGTGGTAGTAACGACCCCACGCTGGTGTTTACAGCCGAGTGTGTGTGTGTGTGTGTGTGTGTGTGTGATGTGTGATGACACACTGATGTGTGTAATGCTGCTGTATCAGCCTCTGCAGCTGGAAACATCTGCGACTCGCAGTGTTGTTCTGACCTTTATTTAAACGCCGTCAGGGAAGACGCTGTCACTTCCTGCCTCTGTTTCCTGTGTGCGGTCTGCAGGTATGAAAGGAGCGACTGAGTGGAGCTTAATTACAGATGGGCTCTGTAACGCTGATGATGTGTGTTCCTCCTGACAGCCAGGAGGTGCATGTACGTGATGGAGGAAGGATGTGTGGATACAAGTGACGGTGTGGAGGCGGAGACTGTTAAATGCTGCTTTTTTTTCATGTTTCCAGGTTGTGGGCGCCTACGACTTCACTGCTAGATCCAAACACGAAGTATCCTTCCGGGCCGGAGAACCCGTTCGTATCCTGGAGCCTCACGACAAACGAGGGAGCCCCGAGTGGAGCCTGGTGGAGGTCAGAGGAGGTCAGAGAGGCTACGTGCCCTCCAACTACCTGGCAATCATGCCCGTGGGAGCGGGGCTGCCCCCGAACCCCGGCTTCTTCCTTTAGGGAGGGAAACTGCAGCTGGTGCAGATGAGAGGATGGATGGAAGAGCCTCCCGGGATCAGCTGTTTACAGTCTCAGTGTTAATCCTGCCACTTTATCCAGTTTACGAATGGAAGTGTAAAGTTTCTCCTGTGGTGTTTCCTGCTTCCACTTCCTGTGCAGCGTGCACAGGATCGAAGCTTCAGGAGCAGCAAATGAAGTTTACTGACTTTAGCTTTAATAATGAAGGTTTACTGGTCTGCAGTGATCTCTGCACTAACATGCACAATCATCCAAGAACGCTCTTCAAACATGGCGTCTGTAACGCCATGAAGCTCTGACGGCGTGTCACCTCAAACAGCCTGAACATTTGGACGATGTTCATGTGCGGCGAGGACACAAAGCTGTTTTTAGCTTCATTTTAAGATGAAGGACGATTTTCATGGCTGCTGTACAGTGAAGCGCTCATTTCCCATGAACCTCAGAGTGATGCTGCATACATGCAGGGTGTGAGCTCTCTCAAGCTAACTGTAACGTGTGTGTGTGTGTGTGTGTGTGTGTGTGTGTGTGTGAGAACCCTCTTCACCTGCAGCAGCGCTGACAGGTACACGGCGCTCTCATCATCTCAGACTGAGTAATGTGATGTAAATGTGAAACGTCTCCGAGGCCGAGGAAGAACAAGACTCAGCAGGAGGAGCAGCTGGGAGAGGGGCGAAGGACAGCGGCAGTTTCTGCTTTGCCTATGAGCGGATTTAAATTTCGTTGTACTTTGATTCCAGAGTTTTACGTAGGAGTGAAATGGGTCAGGACAGAATAACCTCCTCCTGCATTCACATTCACCTGACGATGCTTGTTGCTATGGATACGGCTCAGGCAGTGCGGGTCACGTCTGTGGCATTTGCTCGGCCGGACTAAAGCTGCAGCAGCATTTCTTGATTCCCGCACTTTTGGGTCAGAATCATTTGAAAGCATCTCTGAGCCTCCTGATTGGCTCTTAGGTCATAAACAGGAAGCTGAGCTCCAGTAGTTTTGCAGCTAACAACAGCTTGAATGTTTGAGCACCACAGACTCTCTCCTGGCCTCCTCCTGTGGGGCTGAGCAGCCTCAGCTGCTGTGAGCGTGGAGCAGAGGGAGGGAGGCCGAGAGTCAGAACTGCTCAGCTGTTCCCATCAGGCTGAATGTCAGGAGGAGGAGGAGGAGGATGCTTCTCTCCTAAAATACCAGATGTCCTCAGGGTTAGTCAGATGGACTGAAACCTCAGCCTGAGAACATTTACCTGATTTCCCCTCCTCAGAGCCCGGTTTAGGATGAGGGGAGCGGTTCATTCCTCAGTTATTTTGGGAAGTTTTAATTCCACAGACGTGCAGATGAAGCTGCAGCGTTCCTTATGTGGAGGAAGTAGATATTTGAACCCATACGCACACGGAAACCACAGAGGGAACATTTCTGGTCAGCATCTTCCTCGCATGCTGTTCTCATTTTCACCACCAGAGGGAGGCAGAGACTCGGAGCGTGTGTGCATGATCAGACTAACTGTGTGTGTGTATGCGTGTTTGGTAATCGTGGCCACAGTGTGTACTTCCTGTTTTGTTTCTGTGTGGTTTCACGAACCTGCTGCTCAGTCGGTCCTGCTGAGTCATTCTGTTTCCTCGATGCTGCAGAGCTGCGTGACCTCTGCTGAGCTGCCACAGTTGTGATATTGAACTCAGTCACACAGCAGGTGGGAGGCTGAGCAGCAGCAGAGAGTGTGGCTTCAATAAAACTAAACTCAAAACTTTTTTGTGGCATTGCATCATTTCATAATCAGATGTTAGTTGTGAGAAGAAGCACCTGAATATTTGTGATGATTTACGAAGCTGTGGGGTCCACACCCACTCAGCCCCTTTTACAGTTAAACATCTGGAGACACAGCTGTTCTTGTTCATGCATCATCACCATCAGTGTGCACGTTTGCACACAGCCTACAAGTTTTCGCCATCTACTGAATAACAAGCTGAAAGAGGAAGCTGCAGTTCCTCTGGTGTCCAGCAGAGGCAGCAGTCCCCATACAC